AGTAAAAGGAGCATGGCTAGCAGGTCGAGGGAGGTGATCCTCCCCTTCCACTCTGCCCTGGTGAGGCCACATTTAGACTACCTGTATCTAGTTTTGGGTTCCCCAGTTCAAAAAAGACAAGAGATGTTCTAAGAGGAGTCCAGCAGAGGGCCACAAAGACGACAGAGGACCTGGAGCATCTCCCATGTAAAGAAAGGCAGAGTAACCTGGGTCTGTTCAGCCTGGGGAAAAGAAGACTGAGAGAGGATCTGGTAAACGTTTATAAATGTCTGAAGAGAGGTGGGAGATGAACGGATGAGGCCAGGCTCTTGTCAGTGGTACGTGTTAGTAGGACAAGGAGCAGTGATGTAAAACTTCAACATAAGAAGTTCCATACAAACACATAGAAGAACTTCTTTATGGTAAGAGTGTCGGAACAGGCTGCCTGGAGAGGTTGTGGAGTCTTATTCTATGGAGATATTCAAGACCCATCTGGATACCTGCCTGTGTGACCTGTTGTAGGGGTACCTGCTGTAGCATTGGACTTGATCTCTTGAGGTCCCTTCCAACCTCTGTGATTCTGTGAAAGCATAAAATAGTAAATCTAGGCATCTTCTTTAAAAAAAACACTTAGTAACACCAGCTTCCTTATTCCCTTTTTCTTTAGAACGTATGTTTAAGAATTCTGTAGTGTAAACTTTTCAGTATTAAGTCAAATCTACTTCCTTTTAGAGTAAAATGATTTTAATTTGAACCAATCCCTAGGCATATGAAGTGCTTCTGTGTGGTAAAGTGTCACTCTTTACAAAGGAAATAATTAATAATGGGTGCTAAAGCTCTTGTTACTTTCTGTAGAGGGTGTTTAATTTGGGAACTCATCCCATGTGACTATTTACAATTATGTTCCGGTCTAAGTAGCAATAAAGTACAACTTAAGCCATTGTATTTCAGGTCTTTAATGACTTGAACCTTAATTCTAACTTCATTTTTCTGTAGTGTACTCTTTGAGGATCAGGACAGTTACCTTTGTAACGTCACCTTGTTCAGGAAGGCAGTGGACGACTTCAAGCATAAAGCCCGAGAATACAAGTGAGTCTTATTTTTATGTGTTCTCTTGTGCTTTGAAGCATCTCTGGAAAGCTACTTCTGATTGTATTCACTTCCAAATGCAGATTTCTGGTCCGTGACTTCCAGTATAATGAAGAAGAGATGAAAGCTGATAAAGAAGAAATGAACAGACTGTCAACCGACAAGAAGAAACAGTTTGTAAGTCTATGCAGGCCAGTCATTGCAGAAACCTAAGATGTCTGGGACTTGTTATTGCTACATCGCGATTTCATGAGCTTGTGATTCTGAGAGAGCATTGCAGGGATGACACATCAGGTCAGCCTGCCACCTGGTTAATCTTTTCAGGGATAACGGTGCTGAGCCAAGTGTTGGTATTGCAGCTAAAAATATGTGAAATCTGAAAATGGGCAAACATTTGAATGGAATAATCAGATATTAAAATGGCCTTTTATACAGTTAGACCATAACAAGTGGGATGATGTACTGAAGAGATAACCAAGTCTTGTTAAATTTATCTTTGCTTTGTGCAAAATCACCCTTGAGCCATAATGTCAATAGCAAACTCTACCTTTAATTCGTCAGTCACACTTCAAATATTGAGTATCTGCTGAAGTGTCCTTAGTAGTCTGAAACTTTTCCTGAGGATTTTTTTCTCTTTTACAGGGGCCTCTGGTGCGATGGCTGAAAGTTAATTTCAGTGAAGCTTTCATTGCTTGGATTCATGTGAAAGCACTCCGAGTTTTTGTTGAATCTGTTCTAAGGTAATGAGACAGGCCTGAACAGAAAATTGTAGGAAGAAAAGCACATCTAGCTTGGCTTCACTTGCTTGAGTTTTGTTAATGCCACTCTTCCACAAAGGAGGAAACAGTGGAGTAGGGCAGCAAGAACAACTGTTGGTGTAGCTCTTGTTGCCAGGTGTGGAACATCTGAGGTAGATAACTTCATCTCATTCCTTCAGTGCTTTAGGGGAGTTATCTGTCCATTGTAGCAAGACATTTCTGCTGTGTTTTTTAGCTTGCTTAATTGAGCTGCTTGTAAAAAGAGCTTACTATAGCTTTTGTTTGAGTAGCGTGGATAGTTCAGAATAAAAAGTTTTGAGGCTTTGAGTAGCAGTACAGTTTGACATCTTGAAATGTGTGCTAGTACACAGTAGTTTTCTTGTTCAGTATTTTAACTGTAAGATTTCTCTTTGTTTTTCTTCATAACATCCAGAAGCATAGCTAATGAGTTGACATTGCTGTAGTAGTTCAAACAGACCTGGGTTTTTTTCAGAGCAGAAAGAACTCAGTCAGAAATCCAAAAGGTGTTTTGAAGTTAGTTTTGCTAAGACTTGTTGTCAAGGATGCCTTCAGAAAAGGCCTTGCAATCTTGCAAACCTGCAATCTGATTTGTTTTTCATAGCTGCTGCAGGGTTGTTTTGAAGGCAATCTGAAAGTAGAGAAGGCAGTTTGACTTAGTTTGAATATTGGCAGATATTTCTGCACATCTAGAAAGGTGGCTGGAATAGAAACTGGATGCTCCACCTAGTGGTGTAAAGGTAAAGGTCTTGCTAGTAAATGAATGGAAGTGTTCAAAACTTCAGGTAATGTTCTGAGAATTTTGTAAAGCACTTGGATTTTAAAAGGTGTTTTGTTATTTTAAGCTTGAAGAAGGAAGTTCTGCTTCATGTGTTACTATGTGCTGTGCAAACAGTGATATTGCAGAAATAGAAATGAGTGGACTTTCCTCATCAGCAGAAGGATTCTTTCTCAATATCAAATACATTTCATAGAAGAGAGCTTGTTTCATCTCTTGTTTGCTTAACTTCTCTAGGTATGGTTTGCCGGTGAACTTCCAAGCAATGCTGCTTCAGCCTAATAAGAAAACAATGAAGAAACTGAGGGAGGTTTTGTATGACTTATATAAACATCTCGACAGCAGTGCAGCAGCTATCATTGATGTAAGTGCTTTTGTAATTGCTTCTCTTAGGTTTATTGTGATTAAGAAAAAAAAAAAAGCTTAAAGCTTTTTTAAAGCTTAAAAAGCTTAACTTTTTTTTAACTTAAAAAGCTGCATCTCCTCACTTTCATTTTTTTCTGTGGTACAAAAACTGTCTCCATATAAAAATGCAGCTTCTGTGTTACACTTTTGCGAAGGAGATGGTATGTGAAGTTGAAACCAATGTGTTTTAAGAGCTGCCTGGTGTAGTTCTGTTTCACTTCTCACTGCATTCTTTCTTGCTACCAATGGAAGGATGTCTTGCAGAATGGATACTTATTCACATCCTCAAAGAATCAAAGAGAGTTTTGATCTGAAATTAGGCTTAGAAACTTGAATGCGTTTCCTATCTTGTTTTTGACCCTTTAAGAAATATTTAAATTATCCATTGCCTCAGGTAACAGTGGTCTTAAAATAATGAAGTGAAGTTTTCCTTAGTTGCTAATTTGTATTTTTAAGCTCATGTCATTGTTCTTCTCTGCTAACGAAATATAAATTGTGCAGATGGAGTCATCTGTTCCACTTTCATGTCTTATATTCATGTTTAAAACTGGTTTGTTGGGAGACTTATTGTACTACTTCAATTTCATATTGAAAAGCAGTGCTTTTCATAGTTAAAAATTGAGTAAAAATTATCACATAGTGAGTTCAGTTACAAAGGAAATCTTTTAGTTATATTTATTGTAATGTTTCTTCCAAAATATTTCGAGACATTTTGGTGGAGAAGGAAATGTGGGATGATTGAAGTGAGAGTTGCTAAGCTTCATGTAGCTTCTTGGATCAGTACCCTGTAACATTATTTGTGTGAGCTGGCTGAGTTCAGGCGTAGTAGAACATAACTGGAGTCCTTTCCCTTCCTTTTACTGGCAGTGTGTTTACTAACGAAATGGGTGTGAATTATTGATGCAAAGTTGATGTTAAAGTTTTGGTTCATTTTCTCAAAGTCATAACTTGTTTGTTACCTAATTTCCCATTTTCAAGTGAATGTTTAAGCTTGAAGTCTGATTGCCTTCTCAAACATCTGAATGTTTATATCAATTTCTGAGTAGGAGCCCAAGTTGTACGAGTCTAACCAGCTTCAAAACTTATTTGCAGGCAACTATGGATATTCCAGGCCTAAACCTCAGCCAGCAGGAGTATTACCCATATGTGTACTACAAGATCGATTGCAATTTACTGGAATTCAAGTAAAAATTCCCTAACGTGGCAATCCTGTGTTGGTGTGAACAAACAGAAGTGAGGTTGAAGTAATACCTTTAACACTCTGCTAACCATATGCTTGCTTCTTATGTTAGGTGAATTTTAAGCGCAGTGGTCCATCTATAGACATTTTCTTTTTAAAGGAAAGTGTAGTAACCTGCTTTTAAATAAACGTCTGTAAATGTATATTGAGAGAATTGAAGTATTTATAAACAGAGTGCTTTATTTAAGGGAAAGGTCATTCCTCTTTCATACGTGATCTGTGTTAATTCCATTCCCCACTGTTTATTAAAAAAATTGTTTACAGAAGAATAGTGTAAATGTTTATGGCCATTTTGTTTGTTTGATTTAGTAGATACATGTGTTAACATTGTTGAACTGTGATGTAAAGTATGTAAGATTGGTATGAAATTGTGCTTTCTGAATGTTGTAAAATTACAATTGAAGCACTGTAAGCACACAGGAAAAAATAAACATATGTGTGCAAATGTGTCACTTTGTTGTGCAACATCTAATTGCAGTTGGCTGTGTCTGAACCGAAGCGATGTGTTATGGCTTAAATCCAGCGCTGCATCCTGCCTGCGTTGGCACAAAAATGCCTATGGCTGAAACACAAATACTGTTAAGAGTTGTAGGTATTTCTTTTACTGGGCAAAAATATGCAAGTGTGGTGACTGCTCACCAGACCTGTGTATGAATGTTTGTCTTATTTATATCTTCGTGACTCTCAGGATTTGAGATGATTCTTCCACAAGTGAAGGTAAGGTGGGATGCTAACAACCAATACTAATATGTTTGGGTTTTTTTTTTCCCAAATAACTCTGCATTCATAGAATCATAGAGTGGCCTGGGTTGAAAAGGACCACAATAATCATCTGGTTTCAACCCCCTGCTGTGTGCAGGGTCACCAACCACCAGACCAGGCTGCCCAGAGCCACATCCAGCCTGGCCTTGAATGCCTCCAGGGATGGGGCATCCACAACCTCCTTGGGCAACCTGTTCCAGTGTGTCACCACCCTCTGTGTGAAAAACTTCCTCCTAGTATCTAACTGCCCCTGTCTCAGTTTAAAACCTTTCCCTTTGTCCTGTCACTCTCCACCCTCATAAACAGCCATTACCCCTCCTGTTTATAAGCTCCCTTCAAGTGCTGGAAGGTCACAATGAGGTCTTCTTGGAGCCTTGTCTTCAAGCTAAACAATCCCAGTCCCCTCATCCTTTCATCATAGGAGAGGTGCTCCAGTCCTCTGATATCTCAGTTATTGCATTCTTTGCAATTGCTTGCAGCCTGGGGCTGCTTTCTGGCTTTGAATTATTAGATACCCTTTGCTACTTTTTTCTTGTTGTGACATCCTTCCTACCATACAATACATGTGACAACTGCCATTTAGTGTATTCATAGAGTGGGGTTTATTTTAGTACCAATTGTAACACCTGCTATTAACATAGCACATATTTCAGTTTCTAAATATATAATAACAACTGCAGTACCCTTTAAAACTGACTTAGGACTGAGATGGGAAGTGGCTGCTGTGAACTTCCTTTCAGTGGTGTGTCTGGGCTGGAGTTATTTAGGGCTGCAGTGGTTGATTTTGTTTGTGAGGAGTTGTGAGGAGGGCCAGCCTTAGAATAACAGATGTCTGGTAATGTTGGGCCTTCCTAGGGGTGAAGAAGGATAATTTGGGTACAGGAACGGGAGGTGGTCTGTATTAGATTTAACTTATAAGAAAATGCTACAATAAGAATCTCCTTTTGATTTGGTTTAATGTATTTCTGCAGTTGTTAAAATAACTGGCAAATAGCACAAGGTTTAAAGTGTATAAAAATGGAAAACTTCATCTCTGAGAAGCATGCTAAGTGATTAAAATTAAGGTAAAAAGGAATTTGTGGAAGAAATGAAGAGTATGGTCTTCTCTGGAATGTGAGTGGTATGGAAATTTGATTTGTACTATAATAAGTAACAACAGGTGATTGATGGCCTAATAGGGAAGGCAGGCACATGTGGATTTTTACCATTTACATGGCTGGAAATAGTTGAAATCTGAGAAGGAGAGACAGCTGCTGCACAGCAGAAGTATCCAAAATAGCAACGCACCAGAATTTTAATAAGAATCTTGAAATGTTGATGGTTAGCTTTTAAAGACTCACAAATAGGTTGTAGTAATGAAGTTGTATTAGAAAACAATACCTTCAGTGAGTTCTAGGATCACCTGGACTGGAGGGAAGTAGAGAGCTGGGCGGAAGAGGAGCAAATACGGATGTTTGTTAGGGAGAACTGGACAGTGAGAACATGGAAGCTAGGTGAGGGGACAGGTCAGAGCGGTGTAATCCATGGCATGAAGGCCATCCAGGTGGGTACCAGTGGTGGTGTGCCCTCGGGTCAGTACTGGGGCACCCAGTCAGGACAGAGTTGCACCCTTAGCAAGTTTTCTGATGACGTACAACTGGGAGGAGTGGCTGACAGACCCCATGGCTCCCATTCACGGCGACCTCAGCACAGTGGAAGAGAAATAGGCTGATGAGAACCGTGTGACGTTCAGCAGACAGAAGCCTAAAGCTGTGCGTCTGGGAAGAAACAACCAGGAGGCTGGTGGTCAACTAGCAGGGAGGGAAATCCTGTACAAGATGGCTACAGCTCCCAGGCACAGAGAGGAATTCCTGTTCTTCTGTATCCTTGAAGGGCAAACAGTAAATAGGCATTCAAAAGAGGTTTTGTATCAGGCGAGGTGACAGACATAGGCAGTATGGTGACATGTTGAATTACTGACGTTTTTTTTATGTTAAAGTTGGTCTTAATTGTTTTAATTTTTCTTGAGCAGAGACAGGCGTGTGAGTGCTCCTGCAATATTCAGGAATCTCATTCTGGGATTGCATTTCGTTTGAGGACTACAGCTGCTACACACAGCAAGCCAGGGTGACCAGCAGATGCCAGCTCTTTGGTTCGTGGCAGTTTTGTTTTCTTTTTAATATAGCAGTATGTTAAAACACTCTGCTTTTAAACCTCCGTGTTAATGCTCCTAGGGATACTTTTGATTTTTGAAAGCTTTTTGAAAGATGAATGCATCTCTGTCCTGCTTAACTATTAGATGCAGAAAACCATGGCCCACAGGGACTGGTCCAGGAACAGAAGTGGTGAGAAGGTAATCAGATGCCTGGTACATGAATTTGGTTTGACTTTGTTTTAGTAGAATTCACGCTGTGGAAAGGATGCTTGAATTCTGCACATCTCTTATGTCAATAAAAGGCAGTTTGTCTTCCACCTAACAGGTTTGATTCTTAGTGTACAAGGCTAACATTTGCCAGCAGCTTGGTATTTGCCTCCACACAGATACTGTATAGTGCACAGTTTATCTTACACTAACTTTCATATCTTTAGGACACAGTATGTGAGATGAGTCATAAGCAAATGGCAGCACCCTTCACTCGGTGGGGATGGGATCTTTTTAGTGTTGCTTTAGTACAAGTGAATCAACTCCTGCCCTTTCTGTAATGTCACTGCAAGAATTACTGCTGGAGTAAATTGTCACACCTTAATCTTGCAAAGGTCAGCGTTTGCATTTTGTACAGCCAAGGAAAACAAGTGTAATATATGAATTCCTGCTAGTGCAACTTCATTGTGCCAAGAAGGTTTAGATCAAGCGTAGAGAAGGATTTTTTCATGGAGAGGGCAGTCAAGCACTGGAATGGGCTGCCCAGGGAAGTGGTGGAGTATTTAGGAGATGAGTGTGCTTGGCACTGAGGGATGTGATTTAGTGATTGGACTTGGTAGGTCAGGTGGATGGTTGGGCTTAGTGATCTTGAAGGTCTTTTTCAAGTGAGATAATTCTATGATTCTGTCATTCTGTTCCATGAATTTGATCTTCTCTTTCTTGAGCTTCATTTGAGCCCATAAGCAAATTATTGCAGCATTATGCTTCTCTGAAACTTTTGGGCTAGGAAGAATATGTGCAATTTCTTTCTCTCCAGTGAGAAGAGAGTTTGTGGGGAAGCACAGAGGGCACAGCTGTTTTGTGTGAAGAAATCGACAGGGGAGACTAAGTTAAGTAAATGGAGAGCCAGCTTTGAATAGCAAATGCTGTTTGGCAATACTGTAGCATTCATGTTAGAGTTTAAAAAAACAAAAAGCGAACGTGCATGCTGTTATAGGTCTGTTTGCTATTTATTGGCCTGTGCTCGGTTATTCTAAAAACAGCGTTTTTTAGCTGTTGTATTGTGTAGATTCATTAAGGACTTCTGCTGCCCTGCATGATGTGCTTAAATGTGCTTCAACAAAGTCTTGAACTCAAAGCTCTTTTTTTTTTTTTTCCACCTCTAGAGAGCAGCCTCGAGCTGCCTTCGTGGAGCAGTCCCAGGGAAACGTTCAGCTCTTACTGAGAGATAAAGGTTTGAATTTAAATGTTTGATCTTTTAGTTATTGCATCTGTAGCCTTATACTACCAAGGAAATACTTAGTATTGTGCGTAATTACTATGCTTTGCTTCCCCATGCTCCTCTGAGATTAACATTCTGCTGCACACATTCACTTACTGGCGAGCTGAAAGTGGACTCACAATTGCTACCTAGAAATTCATATTGTATCTGAAATTAAAAATATAGGATTCCAGAACTGGATTTAGCTACACTGTCTATTATTTGAGTTGATTTCAGGCTTGCCTTTTCTTTCCAGTCTCATCAGGAGGAAATCATAGTTGCTGTGGACGGGACTACACAGGTACTTTATTCCCCCGTAAATCCATTTGGCCATTTCCTGCCTTGTGGCAGTGGTGGGGCCAGAATGAGGAAGCAGAGCTGCCAACAGACCCAGCTGGGTTTTCCACTGTGTGGGTTGCCTGCTCTGACGTGCGGCACTGCACATCCGCCAGCGGTAGCAGAAGGGAGATGGAAACAAACCTGGGTGTTGGAAGCGCTTGTCAAGATCATGGTTGCAATGCAAAGCCAGCCCAGGAGCAGCTGTCCCTCTGTTGCTCTCATCCAGGGGAAAGCAGGGGAAGACAAGGCTCTGGGCAGGAAAGGGTTTTCAACTTAACTTCACCTTAAAACGTGATGGGGAAAACAACTGCAAAAACAAATTCTGATTTAGAGTACACGGCACAGTGAGAACCCATTCTCCACCCGGAGCAGCCAGGGACAATGGCCCTTAGCAGGCTCCTCCTGCTCTCCTATGTCACCTTTCATCATGTCATTGGCTGCTCTTTCCTGAGTCTCAGCTTTTGTCTTTCTGCTACTTTGACTTTCCTGTCTTATTTTTGCTGCCATTCTTCAATATTCCTTCACACTACCAGAGGCTGCAGTTCTGAATGCTTTCATGTTGCTTAGCAATATTCTTCTTTCCTTCTCAGGAGCTTGGTTTTCTTAGAAATATTCCATGTTTGCAGTCCTCACTTGCTTGTCCTGAATTCTGATGTCTCCTAATCTTTATTCCCCATAGCTAAACAACAGCCTAACAGGCCGAGTTCACCCAAGTGAATGTTTGTAGGCATTACTAAGGCTACTTGGACAGCACTGTTTTGGAATTGGTTATATTTCACCAGATCCTCGGTGGCTGTTTAGTCGTTAAGAGGCTTGCTGCCTGCTTGTTGCTGCTTGTTGCTGTTTGCCCCAGACCAAACGCGTGCCATGGGGCTGCCTGTGCTGCTCTAAAGGGCCATCAAACAAAATGCACTCAAATTACACATTATTCAGTCAATCTAGTCATTATGCTCCACTGATGAAGAGTCTTGAAAAAATTGAATTATACATGGATTTCTCAGTCACCAATAGTACAGAAAGCATTTGTAGAGGCAAGAGGGAAACAATGCAGTTTTGACCAGCTGCTAAACCCAAGCTGTTCCCAGAATCCCAGTTGCTCATTGCAAAATCACGTCCAGAAATACTGGTGTTGGTGTAAATGCTTTTACATCTCATTTCAAGGGTAAGGTTAACCCCTAGTAAGTAAGTGCCAGAAAAACAGGTCGTAATTGCTATTAAGAAGACCACCTGTGAGGTA